CTTGGGAAGCAAAGGGCTGTTGTGTCACGTGGTAATATCATGACTTGGTTTCAAGAATTTCGTGAGGCAATTATGACCATTGACCCTTCCATTTTGTTAGAGCCGGACCGCATTTATAATTGCGACGAATCAGGATTCAGCCTGAACGCTGTAACTGGCAGAGTCCTCTCGAACCTGGGCACAAAATTTGTGTACCAGATAGGCAGTTAAGCAAAAACGCTCATCACTGCAACTGGCCATTACACGTGGCCAATGCTCATCTACCCAGGCACTCAGTTTCGTGGATTCAAACCAAATGAAGTTTTCAACGATTCTTTTATTGGAAGGTCAGAGAATGGGTGGATCAATCAGGGCCTCTTCTTTGAGTGGATGCGTTTAGTTTTCATTCCCCAGACAGCCAACGTCAAAAAGCCAATCTTGCTGCTTGTGGATGGCCATGTGAGCCACCAATCTTTACAAGTCTCTGAATTGTGTCGAGACAATGGAGTGGTACTGTATTGCTTACCGCCACATTCATCCCACATCCTTCAGCCGTTGGATGTTGGTGTTTTTAAGACCATGAAAGGGGAGTGGAAAGCAGCAGTGAAGGCACAAAATGAAAGTGAAATCATCACAAAGAGAACATTCGCAAAAACTTTCAAAGTGGCATATGAAGCAACAGTTTCGAAATCTTTAGCTGAAAATGGTTTCAGGAAATGTGGAATTTACCCATACGACCCTGAAAACATTGACTGGAGCAAAGTCACACCTAGTTCTGGAGCAACTGATCCTGCCACAAATGTTCAGCCCGTCGCCACCACTGCCCCCCACGTTCCACCTGTCACTGCCAACACCTGGAACATGCAACCTGTACCTGTCAACACTCCCAGCATGCCACCTGTACCTGTCAACGCTCCCAGCGTGCCACCTGTACCTGTCTACGTTCCCAGCGTGCCACCTGTACCTGTCAACGCTCCCTGCGTACCACCTGTAGCTGTCAACGCTCCCAGCGTGCCACCTGTAGCTGTCAACGCTCCCAGCGTGCCACCTGTAGCTGTCAACGCTCCCTGCGTGCCACCTGTACCTGTCAACGCTCCCAGCGTGCCACCTGTAGCTGTCAACGCTCCCTGCGTGCCACCTGTACCTGTCAACGCTCCCTGCGTGCCACCTGTACCTGTCAACGCTCCCTGCGTGCAACCTATGTCTGCCAATGCCTTGCAATTCATCGCCCACTCTAGCAGTGCGGGTGATGTCCACATTGACCTTGCATCAGTTTTGCAGAAGTTCGCTATGATTTGCGCCCAGATAGGGGATGCCACATTAAACCAATACTATACAAGACTCGAGGAGGGCTATGATTGTGACGATTCTTTGTATTCACTCTGGAAGTCTTACAACACACAGCTTCTCTCAGCTCTACAAGCACAAGCGACTGATTCGGGCACCGCTCAGCAAGATTCAACGTTGCCAGGTCCTAGCAGTTGTAAACAAGGCAACCCGCTGGCACTTCCAGTGATAAAAAGAGGGGCAAAAAGAACAAAAGCCCTGAAAATGCCAGCCTTGATAAGTAGCCCTGATTTCAGGGAAATGATAATACAGAAAGAGATTGACCAAAAGGAAGAAGAGGCTCGGAAAGTCAAAAGGAAATTGGACATGGAGGAAAAGAGAAAGGCCAAAGCACAACAAGAGGAAGAGAAGAAGGCAAAGAGAGAAGAAAGAAAAAAACTACAAGAAGAAAGGAAAAGGAAAAAAGAAATGGAAATTCAGTTGAGGAAGGAAGAACGTAAGCGAAAGATGGAAGAGAAGAAGAAATCAAAAGCCCAGAAGAGACCAAAATTGTCAAAGAAGAAAGAGCAAACAAACAACCCTGATTCGGATAGTGCCACAAGTGTAGATGAAAGTGAAATGATTCTGGATGACAACAGCTTGGATGAAGTTGAAATAGATTGTTTCCAAGATGACAGTGAAGCAGAAGAACGAAACTTCATATCACAAGCGGGAAATTCTGAAATAGAAGTAAATCCCCAAGAAAAAGACAATGGTATTGATATTCAAGAGGCAAGACCTAATGCTAGAGCTAACAGTAACAGTAATAACAATGAACACAGCACCACAGAAATGTTGAATGAATTTCTACAGTCATCACAACCAGATGGGCTCAATGATACCCGTAATATATGGATTGATCTGGCCGTTGACCATATTGTTTGAATTCAAATTTGCTGAATTAAATATATTAAAAGATGATGTTCTGTTCATTATTTTTTTGCTTTTTTTCATCATCATCATCTTCATCTGTTGATATCGTCACCATTATGTTTTTAAAGATTCTTTCATACTCTCACACTGGCTGTACTTCTCCCTCCTCTCTCTCTCTCTCTCTCTCTCTCTCTCTCTCTCTCTCGTTCCTTCTGCCCCCTGTCTCTGTCTGTCTGTCTGTCTGTCTCTCTCTCTCTCTCTCTCTCTCGTTCCTTCTGCCCCCCTGTCTCTGTCTGTCTGTCTGTCTCTCTCTCTCTTTCTCTCTCTCCCCCTCTCTCTTTCAAACTGCTTTCCTATCACCTTCTCTGAAATTAAATGAAAGAACAGCACAAGTTCGTGGTTTTAACATTATTTTTCTTTTAGTCACATGTATAAAATTTACATTGAACCTTGACCTAGACTGACTGACGAGTTTATCAAGACTTAGAAATCTACCCTATACTCTGGAATTCTGTGAAAGAATGTCTAATGAGAGTATAATCCTGTCTGTCCCTGTCAAAACTAACTACACTAGGCCTAGTATTGGCCGCGCTCAGGTCACAGCCTTGGCCGCGCTCATGTCACGTGGTCGCGCTCATGTCACATTCACGGTCGCGGTCAGGGCACATGGCCGCGGTCAGGTCATTGAGCTCTACTATAAGATTGTATCATAGTGTCCATCTTTATTATGTTAGACTGAGAGGCTACTGGTGACCTGATTGCGGCCTTATGGCGAACCGGAAAACACAAGCAAAATTGTTCTAAAAACAGAAACGATGCTGTGAGGAGAGCAGGAAGCCTCGCGGCCACGGTTGGTACGAGTACACTATAGGATATGTTTGTTTGGTCCACACAATGGAAACAAAAGCACAGGCTTTTTTTAACCCACTGTCACAATGAGATGTCATGCCCGGAAACAAAACTGAATGGGACTTTCTGCATTAAAATCGTGCTGCAGAGAGAGCATTCACTGAAGTACCAAGTTTAACTCACTCACTGCCATGCCCGAACCCTGTCAGGTGATCCGCGTCAAACATTCCCCGACGCGTTTCGGGCTTGGCAGTTGGAAGTAGGAGACATAAACCAGTTTAGTTTCGATTCCGCATTGTTGCAGTAACTTCCCTTGAATAAGCTACAGAGTCTCTGAAGCTACCACAGAATTCTACACTAAGTGTAGAATTCTGTGGAAGCTACTTAAAAATCAGACTTTTTCAAACTCACCCGAAACGAACTAAAAACTACTGACGCTCAGTTACGGTGGTGACGGCGTCTCAACGAAGTCGGAACATTTGAATTGATAGACCCATTCGTCAATAAAGGGTCAGATTTAGATCTTTTTGCAGATGATAGTGATGATGAACCATCATACAGAGTTGATAATGAGTATAGGAAAGGAAATAGGAGAGGTGCGGACTCAAGTGAAGATGACAATTGTGCTAGATCTAGAATCGGGTGTTCCCCATGCTCAGATCTATGATCCGATGCTTCCCGGTCCCGTCACACAAACGTCAAAGATAACACAACGTAGATTTAGACCCCAAATGATAAGAATACAGCTGACATAGTTCCTCCTAGGTCTACACAACAAACTTCAAATAGTGGCACCCCTCCCCCAGTGGCCATGCCCCGTCCTGCAACCACACACCCAGATGTTGATGCTCAGGATGGGTGAACTGATGACTTAAATGATATTCCAGTTATATAAAATTTGTCAGATATCTTTTCAAAGTGACTCTTCAACATTTGTCAGTTGAAACAAAATCTATTTCTTTCAGAGATAAAGATATAAAGGCTTGAATATCGACTGAATGTACCAAGCACCTAAATGTTATGTAAAAGTTTTTTTTCTCGATTTTGCCACATATTCACAAACTCATAAAATTTCAAACGGTAAAGGTATCACAAATTTTTGTTGTTGATTTGTTGAGTATGTTTCAATGTCATTGTTTGTGGAAAAGTTCAATGCTGTACACAAATTAATAAGCTCACAGTGAGGTTTAGAAAAAGGTCCCGAAAGCCTGGCATTCCTCAGTGAGTGAGTTAAATGTGATAGATATTTTTAGTGAGTTTTATGAAAGGCTTGTATGCTCTTTTTATTTGCTCAAGCATGTGTTTAAATTATTTGTTTGCATTTATCTCATAATTCTTTTGCAAACAGAATCTACACATAATCCAGTTCCTATATTAGCCATATTGATATTTTTCAGTATCATATGTATGTACATGTATGTTGTACATAGACCCTCTTATAGATGTGCTTCATTCACAAAGTTTCTGTTCTTTTCAGGAAGCCAGCTGTGCACTGTATGCAACCAGAGGCTGACAGTTAATGGTAAGAGAACAATTTTGTACTAGAGCTGAATGTGTGTTTTCCATTTAAACTACATTTAGAGTTACTTAGTTCATCTATGTTCTCCTTTTAACATTGTCTGATTTACCGCCTCTTACTCTTTTGTAAAATCCTAGAGAATATATATTATATATATATTGCAAGCTGTTATTGAGAATAAGTCTTCAAATTTTAAACTTCAAAATATAAAAAGACAGGCTTTAATCAAACATCTGTATTACAGTACTGCTGCTATTTAAGCAATTTTAAAAAAGTCAATTTTATCCTTATATTCTTTTGTTATACCCAGACCTCAGATACGCCAGCAACCTGATAGTGTTCCACTGCCGTCATGCATTCCATGAAGACTGCCTGCCTGCCTTTGTTGTAAGTACTTTTTTATGTGAATTTGCTCTTCTATTTATTACACATATGAAGAGCTGAAAAACAAAATAGACAAAGGGCACTCTAATTCTGGTTAACCGTGGTTATACTGGTGGCCCCTGGCTTATTTCTCTGTGTGGCCCCATTTACAGGTGCGGATTTGACTCTATGCTGCACTGTCAACCCATCCTTGAAGAAGGCTGCATTGCCCTGTTAACTGTTCCTCCCTCTATTAGCGTCTCCACCTCAGCAGTGGCCGCCCCCTGTGGCCTCTCACAACATTCTCTGCCTAGAGTTGCTACCACTCAAATATACTGGCGACATGTATCTGTTATTATACTGACTCAATGACTGCTAAAAAATGACACATGGATTTTTTTTTTTCCCTCAGACAAACTGTATCATCTGCAGCTCTGTGAAGAAAGACAGAAGGCCTGGGTCAAGAGAGCACTTTTTGAAATAACTTTCTGCTGTTTTGTACAGCTCGTTGTTTCCATGAGCTGTAATGTTCAATAACCGGATCACTAAATTGGTTTCTGTTTTCTGATAAAAGTGCTTTTTATTTGTTTTTATTTAACTTTTCGTAATCTTTGTTTTTTACATAACATTTGATTGGGGGAATAATTTAATATTGCTTTTCAGTGTCAAACCCCTATTGTTTCCCTTTTATTTTCTGTCACAACTACAATATATTTGATAATTGCAAGGGTGGACTTGTACTTTTTTCCTATTCAAACTGAAAGTATTGAGAAAGGACAAAATGTACCCGTCTCCTAAACTCGCAGAGGCTGGTTTAATACTGCTATGATACCAGATGGATCCTGTGATGTCAGTAGCTTTGTGGTTAGGGCTACTGAACTTTAAGTGTAAGGTCACAGGTTTGAATCCTGGTATGGGCTTGATCCATCCATTGGAAAGATATTTTACACTCATTGTCCCAAGTGAGGATAGAAGTATAGTCGAACCTGTATAAGACGGCCAACCATTGTCGAGGGGAAAAGTGGCCATCATAGGCTGGACTGATCAAAATGAAGAAAACACGCCATGCCTATCTGAGGTCCCAGCCAAAGGTAGTGCAGGTTTAGGGCTGCTGTAAGGCTGATTAAAATGGGGGTTTTTTTTTGCTTTTGAAAAAGAGGTTGGGGGGGGGGGGGGGAGGAGACGAGGTAAGGATTAAATAGGTTGTTGATAGTTTTTTAAAGTGAATAATACTTTTTTTGCTGGTTTAGTGCAAGGGTAAATTAACAGTAAATGTTTCAGGCAAGGGAGACTGAGTACCATAGTGAAACAAAGGAATGGGTCCCCACCACTCAGCGAATGAGCAACACTTCTGTCATAAGTTCATGTTCATGTCCATTGTTACTGACTGGGTAAACAGAGCAGCTGCTCATCTCACTTATGAGTTGGTTTCGGTTTGGTAAGAGTTTTACGGTGATTTCAACTACATAGGGTCCTATGAGCACACAGGGCTGAAATTGGTTGTTTTCACTTTGAGTTGTGGGTGTGCTGATAGGTCATGATGCATAACATACCTCCCTCACCAGCACTTGGAAATTAATTGTTACCGACGGTCAACATGCTTAAACAGTGACATGATTGGTTGATTTATTAGAGGGGACAAACAATAACGACAGGTGAATGGATCATGACGACTGGTCCACAGCGTCAGGGGCTGATGTAATATAATTTATGACAAGGCATTGGCTGATGAGAGATTTACGTGACCATCTTAGACAAGTTTTTTTTTGTTGTTGGTTGATAAAATATAGTGGCCACGGCCTTGTTGAGTGGGTTATCATTTTATGCAGTGCTATTATATAGAAAAAATTCAAGGTTGGAAATGGGAAGTTGCCATTTGTACAGGTGACTGTTTCATACCCGGTGGCTGTCATGGCAGGTTTGACTGTATGTAGTTTGAAAAGTTTGAGGTGTGTTAAGACTACTTTCAAGCAAGGATATGCGTCATATAGATATGTACGGTAGTCTAATATTGTATATCCATAGCTACAGTGTACTTCTGACTGACTGTGGCGTTCTTTTTCTTTTTTTTTTTTTTCAATTCATCTTTCTATTTAACAAGTGTGTCAAAGTTTGTGCTCTTGTCCTGTGAGATAGTGAAATATATTAGTTTGACTGAGGTCCAAGTACAGTGAAACTCAAATACAACAAACTCGAATCCAACAAAAACTCAGATTCAACAAAGGGAGACGGATTCCCCATTTTAAAAATTAATTAAAGTCAACAAAATAACATGGATTCAATGAACACATGAATCAGCGAGCTCAGGTCTAACAAAGTCGTTTATAGCGCAAAGAGGCCCCGCTGATATGGTTTTGGGCATTTTTCTCCCACAACAAACCTCTACTCTTTTTTCAAGAGACCATTGATCGCACCTGCACCTTGGTTCATAGCTCGCTTAGCCTAGCCTATTGCATACATCTTATGCAACCAGTTTTATACACAACCAACGATCATAGAAGTAAATATAAAACAACATGCTTAATTAAGTTCGCAGATGACTCTGCTATTATTGGATTAATAAACCTCTCAAAAACAAAGGGAATGATTATTGATTTTAGACGAGAAAAACCAACAATCCCACCACTCGTAATTGAACTAAAAACAATCGAAATGATGGATTCATACAATTATCTTGGTCTTACAATCGACAACAAATTTACATGGCAAAATCACGTAAACAATATCGCTGAAAAGATAAATCAGAGGCTGTACTTTCTGAGGAAAATTACGTCTTTCAATCCGAATACATCCATCCTTCAGATATTCTACACCACCACAATAGAAACTTTGATAAATGTTGGTATCTCTTGCTGTGGTAGCAATTTGGGAAGACAGCACATCATAAAAATAAACAAGTTGATCAGAAGGACATCAAGAACAATTGGTAGAGACCTAAGTAACTTTAAATAGGGAGTGCTTATTTAGGCCACATATGGCCTAAATAAGGTAAGGGAGGGGGGTTTAGCTTATTTAGGCCACAGTGGACTGTGGCAAGGTAAGGGAGGGGGGTTTAGCTTATTTAGGCCACACATGCTCAAACTACCCTTTTCAGGCAACTGAGTTCGTTCCACTTTCATAATGATGCACCTTTCTCATTTAGTACGGTTTTGTCTCAGTGTACAACTTATAAATCATAATCATAATGAATATTGTAAAGAACAAAGCACAATATGCAAAATTTTGCTCAATCCCAATGGTTTGAATGAGGGCCAGATTTTTCCTTCATGGAGGGGCAAAAGCTAGGCTACCATTTTGGCACACTTTGGTCAAGTGAAAAGGTCAAATCCTCCGAATGGACTTCCGGGTTAAATTTGGGGTATAAAAAGTGTGTACACTACGTGGCTGAGTCAAAGTTACACTATCTTTGCCTGAGTGACACTCTCTCGTAGTAGTACATGTAGCAGTAGTAGTTGTAGCAAAGATCCTGTAGAGAATCTTTGGTAGTAGATTCTATCTAGTAGGCAGTTTAGTGAACGTGCATGCGGCATGGCGAATCGGCCTCGATAAGCCCCGTAGACTTTTGTGATCAGCCACGAAGCCTCGTGTTTTGATGGGTCTAGATCTAGATCTAAACAACTCAGTGTTCATCGCACTGCCACATCCGACAGGCTTAGATCTACATCTTTTTAAAAGGAAAAGAAAGATCATCAAAATGGTTGAATTCGCGTGAAAATCGATTCGGTAGAACTAGAACTATTAAAATTTGCTTCTGAAAACAAGGCAATTTTTATACGAAGGCCATTTTTATAACCGATGAAATAAAAACTACTGGCTGTGTACTGTGTTATTCTGTATAAATTATGAAACTTCAGGATGTATTATTATTTTCCAGCATCTTTTGACGCCTGAGCTGTAGAGGTTGAAGTTTTCACAACACTAATAGATCTAGTAATAGGGCTTTCCGTAAAAAATGCATAGATCGACAAAAGCCGAACCACCGAATCGACCGGTCAGCGACCCGGGCACCTCGCTCTCCCCTGCACACTGTGATAACATGTTGCTTCGGTATCGCATTATTCAACTATTAATACGTGCGGCTATGGCAATTGGGATGTACTGACTGACAAAAAATTCAGTTTTGTTTTTATTTTACCATATATTTGACTTTAATAGTGCTGGTGATAGCTAGATCTAGATTCCCTGTTTAGAATCAGTAGTAGCAGGCCTATGCTAGAAGCAGCCAGAGAGCCTACAACTGCTAGATCTAGATCTAGCTTATTGCTATGTTTTGGGCTTTGGAATTGAAATTAAAAAATTGCACAGTTTTAATTACTTTTAGATTCAGCAACTAACTGTATTTCCAGAGTTAATAATAACAAATCTCAGCATAACAATCACTTTTACTTTTATTAGAATAATTAGATCCAACTTTTTTTTTCTAAAATCTGTTTTGCGCAAACTTAAGATTTTCTCTACTTGTAGAGCACAGAATTTACATTGTAAGCCTCTGCTCAGTCTTTTAGTAAACATAATAAAATACACACACACACACACATATATATATATAAAGAGAGAGAGAGATCTATATAATCATTTTATGTTATTTTCGGGATATTTTTAAAACTCTTTTTTAAAAATATGTCATAAAATCAAATTGTGCCATTTTCTTTGATAAGAATAGCATTAGCAGTGGACTTTTTAGACAGCGAGTCTCTGATTCAATATTTTTTAAAAATATGCTAATCAATGAAAATTGCAAATTGATAATAGTTTAGTCCTGTAAAGGATAGGTGGACTCCGGGGTTTGCAGAGCGAAATACTAGGTTTTAGGATGTGAACCCTGAAATCACGGTAGTGAAATAAGGTTTGGTTTAAGTAAGGATTGGTGGACCCCGGGGTCAACGTAGTGATAAATAAGCAGGTTTAAGGTGGACCCCGGGCCCCGGGGTCTACCTAGCGAAATACTAGGTTTTAGGACAGGTGGACCCCGGGGTCACCGTAGTGAAATAAGTAGGTTTCTTTAAAGATTGGTGGACCCCGGAGTCACCATAGCCGTAGAGGAATAAGAAAGTTTAATTAAGGATTGGTGGACCCCCGGGACACCTTGATTAAACCTACTTATTTTACTACGGTGACCGCAGGTTCCACCTATTCTAAAACCTAACTAGTATTTCGTTAGGTAGACCCTGGGGTCCACTTTAAACCTACCTATTTCACTACGTTGACTCCAGGGTCCACCAATCCTTAAAATTAAACCTAGATCTACATGTACTTATTTCACTACGTTGACCCCATGGTGCACCAAACCTTAATTAAACCTAGATCTACTGATTTCACTATGTTGACCCCGGGGTTCGCCAATCCTTAATTAAACCTAGATCTACTTATAATTTCACTACGTTGACCATGGGCTCGCCAGTCCTAATATAAAATAAATTGAGATCTACTTATTTCACTATGTTGACCCCGGGGTCCACCGATCCTTAGTTAGACCTAGATCTGCTTACTTCACTACGCTGACTCCGGGGTTCACATCCTAAAACCTAGCATTTTGTTAGGTAGACCCCGGGGTCCACCTATCCTTTTGGCTAGATAGACCCCGTGGTCCGTCTTTCCACTTCCTTGATAATAACTGAAAACAATACATGCCAATTGTCATGAATAGTGAAAAAAAATGTTTTTAAAAAAAAGATAAGGAGGTAGACTATAATTTGTCAAAAAAATTGCAAGTGCAAGTGAAGAT